GGAGGAGGAGGAGGAAGAGGCGGGCGGGGGGACGATGGTTGGTGCTGTTCGAGAGGCGCAGTTAATCCGAAGATGTCCATCAAGTCCGATTCGAGCCCGGAATGTCCGTTGACATCGAGGACACGTTGGAAGCGGTTGTGCGGCGGCGTTGCGTACTGGGCGAAGTTGTGATTTGCGGGCTTCACGGTTGGCTTTGCCGGCAGCGATGCGGTTGGCTTCGTAGATCGCAGCGCCTGTCTTCACTGTCCTCCTCCAGGTCGGTCGATCGAGTGTGAGCTCCTCCCAGTTGGTGGGGTTGATTTGCAGGCATTTCATGGAGGACTTCAGGGTATCCTTGTAACGGCGAATCTGGCCTCCTTGACGGCGAGAACCCGTCGCGACGTCTCCGTATAAGAGTCGCTTGGTAGTCGCTCGTCGTCCATGCGCACCAGGTGGCCGCTCCAGCGCAGCTGAATTGGCCTCAGTATGGCGTAGATGCTGAGGATTCCGGTCCGTTCCAGCACATCAGTGTCGGGGATTCGATCCTGCCACTTTAGCCTCAGGATGCGACGAAGACAACTGAGTTCCACGCCTATTCGCTGTCTCATCGGTGCCGCAGACGGTCGGCGCAGACCAGTGACACTCAAGACTAAAATCCCTGTAACGCATGGATTCCCTCCGATGTACACACACGACATCTACCATATTCTGGAGACACTGGTCTCCTCGTTCCAGGATCTGCAGAACACATTCGCATGAACTTGCAGACCCACATCTGGACATTCTTTTGTCTTTTCGGACGGGATGATGCGCAACTGCATATTCGCTCCAAAAACTTTGACTCCTCAGTATTGTTGCGTATACCAACGCCGAAGTCCAATTCTGCACCGACCGTCGGCTCTCCGACTTTTGACGATTGCATACATATACAGAAGCCTGCAGTGGCAGAACACGCAGTCTCCACCTTGCCGAAGACATTGCATTCAGCAGGGCGACTGAACCTGACACGCAGTCAGGCCCATACGCATTGTCGAGCTGGTGATATAGTGCGTGCATTTCTATAGAGCCGTTCTGCCGAGAGTTACAGTTTATTAGTTTCAATTTCTACCCCTGTCTATCCTCGGTGGCGTATCTAATTTTGTCAGAAATCGGAGGAACTCACTACTTTGCATAAGGCTTACTTTAGTCCAGTTTAGTGGTTAGTAGTCATGTGTCATTTATTTGGGCCGTGGATTGAGGACATCATGCTGATAGAATGCTTTCTTTCCGAATTTATTACGTCATATTAAAAATGAGCCTTTTGAAAGTGTCCCTGTATGCTTGTACACCTCCATTGTTCACGTTTTGTGTTTTGCAGTTCTGTCCGAAGATCGCTCACACTCCATTGGATGCGCCCTACGATTAAGAGGCGGGAATATTGTAAATCAGTCGCATTTCATAATCGTCCATGTATTTCATGAGTCGACCAACAGTAATTGCAGATGTGGAATAAATGTTGGTTTCACGACCTTGCAGGAGTGTATGAATGTACTAATTAACGAAAATGAATAAATTAAAAATTTGAGACTTTTCCGACTGGACGAAAACGATAACCCGAGCTCTCATTGGAATATATAACGGCCCTTAACGTTAGTTTTGGGAAGTAAAATTCGAAAGGATCTTCTGGTCAAACGAATGATAAGGGGAGTCCCCCGTCATATAGGTGTCTTTTCATCTGGACCGCTCTGTGCAGGCGAGGACGATGTTGTGGGCATTGGAGGCGTAATGGAAGACCATGAATGCACAAGGAGAGAATGGGCTGATAATATCGGAAGAAGTGGTCGTTCAGCAACGAAAATCCCATCTCTGGAGGACGCTCGTCATTATAACGAAAGTCACACTGCCTGGCAATTATGTCAACACAAAAATCCCATTAAGCTGGGCTTCTCTATGGAAATATACAAAGCCTCTTGTATAAACTCGGTGAGCTAAAATCATTGTGCCGAAATTTGTCCTGATATCGTTGAATTAACTGAAACATGGCTCAGCCTAGTTGTCAAACACTGCGAAATACAAATAGGTGGCTATCAAGTGCTAAAATGAGATCGAACCCAAAGAGGATATGGTGGAGTTACCCTGTATATCTGTAGTGCGGTTGAATGCATTCCTGTTAAAATATTGCAAACTATCATGATTTTGAGATGCTGCAGCGTCTTTTTGTTTCCTGAGTCTGAAAATGTTACTGCCGCTGTTGTGTATAGGCCTCCAAACCGACCCGTGGAAAAATGCGAAACGTTGACCACTCGACTCCTTGAGAAACGTTAGAGGCAAAACATGATAATTGTAAATTTAATTGTTCCGCTTCTAAACTCTCACGGTACCTGGGCAAGGATTAGACTGAACACTATTACATAGGGCACTAGATGAATTCCTCTTTCAACATTTCCGAGCACCCACTTGAATGCATTAAGGACATAGATCTAGTTGTCTGTATCTAGTATTCCCCAAGAGCAAGGAAAGTGTTGATTAAATAATTGTAGGTCCGCCCTTCAGTTTCTGTGATCAAACGACATTAGCGTAAAAAATCAATACTTGTAGCTGCCCCCGAACGAAGCTCAAAGTCGTCAAGAGATGCCTGGCGGGATAACACTGAGGAAGTGAAAAAGGAGATTCAACCTATACTGTGAACGGAAGAGTTACAAGGAGATGTCAGCGGATGTTGGGGAACCTTTGAATTAACGGTGGAAGAATTGATTCAGTTGTACTGTCCCCACAAGATACACTCGGCCAAAAACAAACCCAAATGTCTTGCGACCACGGTAGAGAAGAAGATTCGAAAGAGGCGCAATTTGTGAAAAGACTTCTTCGTGAAACACATGCATCTTACGAGGCGTGCGTCTGGAAGAGGAAGCACAAGAACCCAAAGCATTCTGTGCTTGCATGAGAAGTAATACTAAGAATTGTGACCAACTCGGAACCTTAAAAAGGAAAAACAACCAGGTTGTGAACGATGACCTCCAAAAAGCCTAGCTTCTCTGAATTTTTCAGCTTTAAACCATAGAGTCCCCTCTGCAGCCCAACTCTCTGCCATCTGTCAGTTTCTCACCAGACCATTTATAAGAACAGTATTACTTACGCCGCGGCTATTTCTGGCTACATTAAAGAAGTTGGATCCGGTCAAGCCGCCTGGACTAGATGAGATTCCAGGTGTACTCCTACGCCAATAAGTTGAAGAATTACCTGAACCACTATGTATCATCTTCCGAAGGTCTCTTTTGGCTGTTAAGCTTCCCGATACATGGAGATGGACAAATATTGTACCCATCTATGAGGAAGGATCACGGCTATACCCCACCAACTACCGACCGGCCAGTCTGACATGTATCTGTCGTAAGCTAATGAAGAGGATAAATAAAAGATCAATGATGTTGCTTGATGCGTTCCGCCGTCAGATTGTCCCAGCTCAGCATAGTTTCTACGAGAAGAGGTCCTGTCTTAAAAGCCTTGCATTGCTCGAACGTTAGTCAAACGTAGTGGACGAGGGACATCCATCTGATGTCATTTACTTTAACCACAGCAAAGTCTTTGACTGCGTTCAACAAAAGCGCCTCATCCAAAATATGTCAGACTTAGATATTAGAGGAGAACCCCTGAACTGGATTCATTATTTCGTAACTGATTGCAATCAAAAGGTTACGGTGGGTGGCTATTGTTCAGAATAGGTGTCTGTCAAAAGTGAAATCCCACAAGAATAAGTTCTTGGCCCGCTCGTAGTTATTATATACGTAAATGACCTAATACAGGAAGTGAAGTCCGATATGGTGTTCTTAACAGATTATCTTAAGCTTTTGAGGGTAAGGAAAGATGAGAGAGGCTCCTAGATATTGCTACAGGATATTGAGAGCCTGCAGACACGGAGCGGGTCCTGATGCATGAAACTCAATGTCGACAAAGGTATGGCAATGCACATGATGTTAGCGAGACGAAGGAAAAGTGTACTTTTACGACGGCATCACTTGAAAAAGCAACCATCTGAAAACACAAATGTGCAAAAAGACCTTGAAGTATTCGTTAAAGCGATTTAATCGTAATAACGCGGTGTTCCACAGTCGCAGTGTGAGCAACGTCACCTATGAAGGCAATACACAGAACGTCCGTCAAATTAGGTGTGGATATCTTCGATGAGGTATACGAAGAATTTTCGCGGCCTCAAGTGGAATATGCTGTACAGGCTTGGCGGCCGTGGCCTCGGAAAGGCATGGATATTCTTGAAGGTAGAGCACGACGTGCCACAAAGCTTGTCCCTGAACTCGAAAATTGTAAGCACGAGCAGCGCTTGGATGCCTTAAGCCTCTACCCCCTTTCACTACAGATAAGACGCAGGTAATCCCTCACTAACGTTTCAGTTGCTGTGGCGACCTGATCCTGATGTGGAATGGGAAAATCTTCTCGAAATGGCACCGAAAACGGATCTTTGACGTCATAATCGCCAACTCAAAAAAGAACTGTGCCACACCAATCAGCCTTCCTTCTTTTCCTCGCAAAGAGTCATTTGAAAGTGGAATTCTCTAGTGACGTATGTCGTGCACTCCCTCAACGTGAATTTGTTTCGAAGGCGTCTCGATACTCACCTGTCAAAGGTCAACCATACCTCCCCAAGCTCCGTCTAATACGTAAATTATAATTGTCAACATGCTACTGTCTCAATTTCAATAAGCCATTTTGTTTACATTAAATTGAACATAACTGGATTAATTGACTGCAGCTGTTTAATTTCCTTCGAAATTAATCGCCAACTTGGGGTAAGTCAGTCTGTTTGAGACTTATAGACTCAGGCTGAATTTTGATATGAATATTTGGACCGAATTTATTGAGTACGAATTCGGTCAATATGTTTTTCGCTGTTATTTAGCAATTTCGTCACTTTTTAAACACCCCCTATTTCGTTATCGGCCTTAGGCGTTTCGCATGCTGTAAATCATTGCAAATTAACTGCTCCAAATACACCGATTTACATTGATTTGAATTCGATCGACGCGAGCGATAACGTCTGCTGTGTACCCCACGGAGTTGACGCAGCACCGAGGTCTTGCGCATGCATGAGGCAGAATTGCGCAGAACATGCCGCACGCTTGTGCCCACCCACCAGGCTCCGATTTCAAAGCAATGCGCCAGAATCGGACGCAGTGGCTGACAAAGCCAGACAGCCCGCCTACGCATGTCACACGCGACCTGGTCGCCGGTATAGTTTACCAGGTTTTCGTGAAATAGGGAGCGGCTCGGCCCTCACATTTGTGAGGGTACCTGAGAGGTCATATGAAGAAGGAGACCTTGAACGTGACTCCTGGTCCTCGATACAGTCACCCGGCATACACACAGTGCCGAGAGCAGGGACCGATGGTTACGCGTTGAAAAGGAGCCCACACTGTTGGTGTTCGGAGTTGGTGACGGTGTGGAGCTGCCCATTCTCATGGTCATCAGCGTTGCCGCTTACCCATGTCGCCTTCGGTCCGCCTAGCACGCCTGACAAGCGATGCAGACGCGCGTGACTCGAGCTCTGACTTGGGAAGCCGTAACGCCTACTGAGGTTTGTCTAACCACCGATTGGCTGTTGCCAAACGAACTTCGGGCGCATGCACTTCAGGTGACACTTTCCTGGTGAGAGCGCCGGCCGCAATTGCGTACTGAGCTGCATGTACACTCCCTCGACTCACTACAGCTGGACCCTGCCTTTTTATTTTGGGAGCTTCAAGTTGTTGACCCGTTGTATCTAAACAAGGGTAAGGTTCTTCATCTCGGCATGTGTGTCCTCATTGGTGCTGTTGGGGGCTTCGGTAGTGATGGTATGTTGTGAGATGAGAGGAGTGTTTGCCGTGTTGACACTACACCGGGTCATCAGATGTCCAATGAGGCCGATCCATTCTCGGAATGTTACAACGTGAAGACGATGGCAGGGATTGGGTGCTGGCATCCTTACTTCGTAGAACTTGATTCCTCCAGGCCCCTCTCTCTCTCTGCCTCGACACCAACCATTCGATTGACTCCGAAGTTAGCTACTCCAGTCTATAAGGTAATGCATCATGTCTGTCGATCTTAAACAAGTTCCTCACAGGTCTGAGGGTTGACATACAGGTGCTTCAGGAATGCCTTCAAGACGTATTTGTAGCCAAGCTATTGTCCGCTTGTCTGAGAACTCCCATACCGACGTCGCAATAGACTAGCCGTTTGGCAGACGCTCGTCATCCATCCTCACGACGTGACCGCTCCACAGTACTTGTATCTACCTCAGCGTTAGGTGAAAACGGAGGATGTCGGTTCTCTCCAAAATCTTAGTGTTTAGAATTTATTCCTGTTACTTCGCTTTCAGGACTCTTAGGAGGCAGCTTTGATAAAAATAGTTCGGTCTTTTTCTTGGTCTTCATGAATAGTCTGCATCTCCGCCCCCGTGCAAGAGCGTTGTCGGACTAACAGCCCAGCACATCCTCGGTGTTGTGTTGAGTAGAACGCCGCGACGGTTCCAGACGGAGTGCTTCGGCCAGTCGAAGTCTTGGCTGACTTTGGAGATTCGACTTACGATTTCGTCGTCGGTCTTGATGTTTCTTGTAATCATACGTCCAAGGTACGCGAACTTCTCCATCGCTGCGAGGTGAGTCCTACTGATACTGATGTGGGATTGGTTGTAGGCAGCATTTGACGCCGGTCGGCACGGGACCACAGTCTCCTTCGTGCCGATGGTCAGGCCAAAGTTGGAGCAGCCGTAGTCGAAAAGGTCCACACTCTACTGCATGTCCCATTCCGTCACGGTGTTTATCGCGCAGCTGTCCGCATGGCGTTTTTGGAATAAGTTCCTGCTCTAGATGTGTGTTGAAGCGATTGAGTAGAACACGGGCGAGAGACATGGGAATAAGCGGTTTTGGACAGCCGGTAACGGTGATAACGGTAGTTCAGTTGGCAGAGCACTCACCGCAAATTTCGCAGGTCTGTGATTTGTGTCAATCCGAGGGAGGTCTTCCGTCTGTGTTAGTTTGTAATTCTATGGTGTGCACAGTCGAGAGTTGGGTGAGTCACGCAAACAGGATCGTCTCTTCTTACGAATCAAGAATAACAAGTAGCAAAGCAAATGACAGATCATGTGGGCATTTCTTTCAGCCAGTTTTTAAAACTGGTTGAAGAGAGCCGACGTGCATTAAGGGAGAGCTCTGGTGAGACAGCGAACTGTTTCATGCATCTTATTCGATGGCAAGATTCTTTTGAAGCACATCTGTCGAATTAAGAGGCAACAAACTGTTTGAGCCCACTTCGAATTTGGAGGACTACTTTGGAACCTGCTGCCTATGGTAAGCTGCATACGACAGCCATCACAACGACTATGAAACGGGCCTAATTTGCGCGTGAGCTGCCACTATGTCACCCTGTTTTAAGTTGGTCTCAGAAGTTACCCTAACAATCCTGACAGTACGGAACGATGAGGATGAATAATGGGAAGCGTCCAATCAAGATGTTTCGAATTCACACCAAATTAACCGACCGTAAAAAGATATCAGTAATCTACCTAACAGACCAGGCTGTTTTAGTATCGAGACTTTTCAACGAATGATCGATGTGAGGAACAGATTGTCTTCAGACATCGCATAGCCACTTCCATTAACTCGGTCTCTATGCAAGTGGGTGAGTCTTTAGATCCTTTTAGTCGATTTCTACCTGTATGCCTTGGCAGATACTAAAACACAACACTGGACCTTAAAATGAATTCGCTACTCTAGTCAACTGTCGGACGTTTGGGCGAAATTGTACCTCGACAGCAAGATACCTCAGGAATAGGAAGTCTTGCCGATCGGCCATGCCTATGAATTGGTAGTCTGAGCTCTTTCGCCCATAGTTTTAGCCAAAAGAATATTGCGTCAGCTAAAAAAGACGCTTCCCTAACCAACACCGGTGACTTTTATTATTCCAAATCCACTTATTTCTAAAACTCTAAGGTTGAACTCCATTTCCCAACGGTGCAGCTAACTTTCCACACTAAAAAGAACACGGTCACCTGAAAACTAACTTTCGTGATTTATTTAAGCTGTTGGTAGTTTTCTTCAATGCAACTTCAGAAGGCAAACTGAGCTTGAACTTAAAGGGGACCAAGTCTTCGCGCACTTGAGCAGGTTGTCTGTTTGTGTCTGACTTTTCAGCCTTTCATGAGCGTTTATTTCTCAAAGCAGGCGCGCAAGTTGTCCGGCCTTACAGGCAAGGTTACACACGGCTGAGTCAGTACACCCTATCTCATTGTTTCGATTTTGTTTACTGGAGGTGGTGGGTGCGGAGACGGTAGCTAGGACGGGGGGGGGGAGTGGGACAAAGTATGATCGCCCCCGCCCTGCACGCAGTCAGCCAAGCGTCTAGGCCTGGTGCGCAGATGGGCGACAAGTGTGTCAGCTGCCTAAGGCGTCAGCTCATCAACATGGCTTGTAAATGTGGGCGGGCGAGGGTAGGAAATTTCCACCATCCGGAGGACCCTGCTTTTCGCTCTCCACCCCACCGCCAATCGTCACAACAACCTCTTAAAAGCCTGTGGAAAAAACCTACGGCATGGAGTCCACAGGAGCATTTGGGGTGTCTCAAGGGCTGACAAGTCTATTTACGACGAGAGGTGGACCAATCAGCAAGTCTAAGGCCCGGTGCATACTGCATGTGCGATTTCTCCGAAATTAAATGCTCTTTTCGGATTTAAGCTGCGATCAGTTTATTAGTGGAAATCACGAGTGGGGGTTCAAGTCACACTGCCTCATTTAATCTTTTGCTGTGCAACGTTTTTTAACACACTTTTTCCTAATTGGGCTCTTCCTAACGGCAGCACTGTGATGTAGGTGTCAGAAAACGGCTCTCTCACTTAGGCGTTTATGGAACTATCTCATGAGAGTTGGAAAAACACAAGTGCCCCGAAAAGCTGTTGCATTAGGTCAATCGCCTATGACGTATCTGGTTAAAGAAGAATAGATGTAAACGGTTAAAAAGGATTCAGGTGGTCAAGCATTTTCATAGTGCAAGCTGAATAGTACTTAAAGTTGTTAGCGTATGGCAATATAATG